GTTCCCAGAATGTGCAAAAATTAGACTTCACCGTCTCACCCGAAGCCTCCAGCAGGTAGAGCCCCGCTGATGCAGTGACAGCAAACACTGCTAACATGGAGGCCCGTCCCAGCTCCAGCACTGCCTGGGCCAGGCACTCAGAGAGCACAGCCAGGCAGAGCCGCCTGTCTCCTGAGGAGCGGTACTGGTTGCTCCCCATCCCCAGTCCCCCCTGCCCACCCTCAGAGCGAGCCCAGAGCTCCTGCCCACCGACCTGCTGCAGGGCCGCGTTCTGGCGCATGTACTCCTCGTGCAGCTTCTCCACCAGGTTCTGGACCATGCTGGGCTGGACATGGAGCAGGATGTCCCACCAGTCGTAGCCGGTCACCATGCAGTACTCCAACAGGAACAGCAAGTGCCGCAGGGACATGTTCATGTCCAGCACGTGGCCCATGGAGGGGGAGATGCGGAGCATGCTCAGCTGAAGGGAGGAGGAAAAGGAAAACTGGCATCAGGAATGGGCTTGAAAACATCCCACAGAGCTAAAACACACCACGGGGCAACTCCTGACACAGCAACAATTCCCACAGGGATGGGGTACATCCCGTCCCATCTAACATTTGGATTGCACAGCTGAAATTCCCAGCGTTTTCTGAATGATCCATCGTCACTTGGAGAGCCTGGATGAGAACTAACCCAGCTGTAAGAGGGCACCAACCTTGCCGTGACTGTCCACGCCGGCCAGGGCCAGCGAGGTCCAGGAGAGCTGCATGGCCTTGAAGTGCACGAGGGGCCCCGCGGTGCGCGGGCGCTTCAGGGATGGCTCGTCCACGGGGCGCTGCGAGGAGGAGCCGTAGAACACGGCCATCATCTGCAGGGACAGCCGGTGCACGATGTGCACGCTGCCGTCGTGGAAAGCCAAGGCCAGGCCTGGGGACAGGAGACGACCGAGGCTGAGCCAGCGGCTCCTCCCAGTATGGCACAGCCCTCGCCAGGAGCTCTGGCCACCATCAAAGCCCACGTGGCAACAAGGAGCAGTCAAAGGGCTGGGGGCTCCCAGCCCCACGTCAGCATTTTGCAGAGATACTCCTCTTCCCATGGAAACACAACAGGATGGCTCGGAAGACACCGTGCCTTTGAAAGTTCTGCATGAGCATTCCATAGGCTCTGCTCCCATTTTTACCTCAGGCACAGCTCAGAAGTTTAAGTTTCAGGCAAAAGCCACGTATTTAAGAGAAAGACAACAGGAACTCCTTACCCAACCCAGGGAAGAATTTGGTGTCATTTGCCACCTTCAGATCCGTGTTGGTCAGGGAGATCGGCAGCTTCGGCAGCGCCACGGCCGACACCCGGTCCAGGTCATTGGTGGCAGACAGGATCCGCCACTTCAGGATCATGGGCTGCTTGTCTCCCACTGCGGAAAATAAGCAAGGAAGGGAGACATCTGTCCCTAAGAGATCAGATCCCGTTTCTGCCCACACTCTCCAACCAAGCAGGATCACAGACCAGGTGCTTCATTCCACCAGACCAGTATATTCCCTGTATATTTCCCATACGCATCCCTTGTATTTCCCTACTTTTTTCCTGAATTATGAAAACAACTTGTTTTGCCAAATTTCCCCTCGTGGAAGGCTCGGCTGGGGGTGATCAGAGAATCCTTACACATAACAATCCTTTTTATTTCACCAAACAAACTGCCCCGATTGATTCTGTTCTATCTGAGATGGGGTGGAGCCCAGGTGGCCTGGGCAGGGGGTTAATCCAGCTCTGGTGCCCAACCCTGGTCCTTTGGCAGGCTCTGCTCACAGCAGGAAGGGTGGCTGTGAATTTAACAACCAAACCATTTCCTGGAAGCAGCAAGTTGCTGCCTATGATGCAAACAGACACAGTGAAATATGTGACTGAGAACACCTGAAAATAAATGTGGGAGTCTGGATAATCCCATCTATGAGATAACAGATATGAGAACCTATCCTGCCTTTCCCCTCAGACCAGGCTCGTGTTCTGAAGAGCACCTGGTGCAGACACTCACCCACAGGCGAGATTTGCTGGAAGATGTTGTTGACTGGCAGGCCCTCCTTCCGCAGGGACCAGCACTCCACGATGCTGTTGTTTTGGTTGGAAGCACAGAGCAGCACCTGCAGAACAGAGCCCCCCGCACGAGCGTCACAACGGGGAGGGCACTGCCCCTGCCATTCCCACCCTCTGTTCCCAGGGTCCTGCTCCCAGGCAGGTCATGCCACACCAGCAAAAGGCAGAGGATGGAATCAGTGGGAGGTAACGGTGAGGTCCCCAATTCCAGCTGCACCAAAATGCCAAGGGCACTGCAGGACACGCTGGTCACCTTCAGAGCCCCTGGGGAAGCCAAGGCGGAGCAAACAGCTGCCTCCTTGTTCCTCACTGAACTCCCACCTGCCCTAAGAGCAGCCGCTCACCTGCTCCGACATGTCCCGAGCCAGGAACTTGAGGTGTGTGATGGCCGGGTACTTGTCCTTGCGCGCGGGGTCCGTGGTGCAGCGCATGAACAGCGAGGGCAGGATCTCGGTGTCGATCTTGCACTTCTCGTTCACCACGCTGACACAGACCTTGTAGAACTGCACGGGGGAGGTGCTGCTGCCGTCCGACGTGGCCACCACGATGTTGCCCCCGCCCGTGAAGGCGACGTCGGCCAAGGCCACGCGGCAGCGCAGGCGGCACAGGCTCTCGGTGGCCGTCAGCACCTGCCCGTTGGGCTTGAGGAGGGACACGGTGACCAGCCCGCTGATGGTCACGGCAATCCAGCCCTCCATGGGCTTCCCGCCGAACAGCGTCAGCGACGGGGAGAACTTCACCCTGGAGAACTTCTCGCCAAAGTTCGACGCTCCGGACTGTAACAAAGGGCAGCAAAACCGAGGCGTTTGCACTCCGTGCCTGCGGAGCTCTGCTCGCGGGAGAGGGGCAGGATCTCTGCAGCACAACCCCAGGAATTAAAAAATATCAGAAGCAGAGAACTTGTGTTTGGCAGCCTCAGGCTTTGGGAGTCTGCAGAGTCAGACACGTTTCCAAACAGGGAGCCCATCTCCATACACGGGTCCTGTGCCCAGATCCCTGGATCAACCCTCAACATCCCGAACACATTTCCCCTGAATTACCACTGGTCAGGAAAGAACTGCTCTATCTCCATGTTTCAGCCCAGAACTAAGGCACCACACTAAGAGAGACAATTTAGAGTGCCAAGAGAAACCCAGACTCTAAACCCCACTGGAATTCAGCAGGAACCAGAAATCTGACTTTCCTCTTTGGCAAGAAACTCCCCTACTGGACTTGGCCAAGGTCACAAGGGAGCTCAGAGCAGACAGAACACAGGTGGGATCCCGAGCCCTTTGCCAAGACACGAGCCAGTGTTCCAGCCCAGGTTCCCCCGGAGCCGGGACAAACCTTCTCCACGTGCAGCGCCAGCTTGACACCGTTGTGCAGCCAGGACAGGGCCACCACCGGGTCCCCCTCCACCACGCTGCCCACCGTGCTCTCCCAGCTGTTGGCCAGGTGATCTGTCATGCTCCAGCACTTGATGTGTCCATCGGCATCCGCCGAGAGCAGCCTGGAGCCTGGGACAGCAGCACTCTGTGAGAACAGGGGGAACAGCCCAACCCCCAGGGAATCACCCTCCATCGCTCTGGGACACAGGGACAGCGAGGAGGGATCCCAGCTCACCCGACTGATCCCACTCCAGACACGTGATGACCTCGGTGTGCCCAGAGTTCACGGAATACACGTCCCAGGGGTGCTCGGTGTCAATGATGTGGACCATGTGGGTGAGATCTGCAAGAACACAGAGGTGAGTCCCTGTCCCTCCTCACCAGCCACTGTTTCTGAGCCCACAGAACCTCAGCTGATGTGGGGAAAGACATGAAATACTTTATATAAATGATTTGGGGCAGGATAACAACTGTGCTTGGAACTCATATGAGGGGCCAGACACCGACGTGGAGCTGGCCCTGGTTTAGGGGAGCAGCCAGGGAACAACCACCCATTAGACACTGCCAGAGGCTGGGGGATGAGAGGAAGAGCAGGAGCAGCATTCTCTGCCAGGGGCAGGGCAGAGCCCCGGCCTCCCGGCCCAGCGGATCCCGGGAGCTCGCAGGAGAGGTCTCCCGGCCCTCCACGGTACCTTTCTCCTCCTCGTTGCGCAGGTCGGTGGTGAAGGCGATGAGGTTGCGGCAGGACCAGGCGCACACGAGGGGGATGGAGGGGCAGTGGTTGCTCTTGGGCTTCTTCTCCCACTCGCACACGTACGCCAGGTCCATCCCGCCGGCCGGGCCCGGGACGGGGGACACGGGACGGGGGACACGGGACGGGGACACGGGACGGGGAACACGGGACGGGGGACACGGGACGGGGGACACAGAACGGGGGACACAGGACGGGGGACACAGGACGGGGAACACGGGACGGGGACACAGGACGGGGATCCCCGGTCGCTCCCGGCCCGGTCGGTCCCGGCCCCGCCCCGCGCGCTGCCCCGCTCAGGCACCGCCGCGGACACCCCGGCCGAGGGCCCTCAGAGAAGGGAGGGGCCGGGCATCCAACCTACGGGTCTGATTTGCATGGATGCCTACCCAGAACCCCCCGGGGCAGCGACAGCGAATATGATCCGCGGATTTGGAACATTTCGGAAAAGTTGAAGGACAGCGAGGAGTTGAAACATCGGGAAAATCTGAGCAGGCTCATAAAACCTTTCTTTTCGCCACTTCCGGAGGTCACCCTATCCTAATTATTTTCGAATCCTGGACCTTTAATATTTTCCCCGGACGCTGTGCAGTTCGTGCTCGCTTCGGCAGCACATATACTAAAATTGGAACGATACAGAGAAGATTAGCATGGCCCCTGCGCAAGGATGACACGCAAATTCGTGAAGCGTTCCATATTTTTTTCCATCTGCCCCCACCTCCCTCTCGCGGGCGCCGCCGAATCGCCCCCAAAACCCCCTCCACCCTCGCCCGGCACCCCTACCACCCCTATGCAAGACACAGAGCCGGAGCGGGGGAGCACCGATGTTTATTGTTCCTGAACACACCCGTGACCGAGTCACACCAGCAAAGCAGGCATGAGGGGCTCCCCAGGGGTCCCCCCAGTTAACAGCAGGCAGGGCCTTCCAGGGCCAGAGCAACCTGCAAAGACCCCCAGGGCACATCCTTCGAGCAGCTTGCAAGCACGTGTCGGGAACACAGAGGACACAGAGAGCCCCCCAAACTGCCCCCCCTGCCCTCATGGCAGCTGTGGGCAAGCAGGGAGAGCCCCAAGGGGGGCTGCATGCCCCCAGCACACACACACACGTAAATATACACACACATGATAAAAAACATGGGCTATATTACACTTAAAAACAGCCCTGTGGTGCAGGCAGGGCACAGAGAGCCCCCCTGGACACCCCCTGGGCTGTGGGCGCCGGAACGTGGCAGCCCCCGGGCTCTTCCGCCGGCTCAGCGATGGCTCAGCACCCGCCGGGAGCTGTTTCACCGCAGAAAAATCTGGACCGAAATCACCCCACGAGCGTCAGCGCCAGAGGGGGTTGGCCCCGCCTGATTATTTTTAAAAACACCTGGGTTATAAATAGACACACAAACAGTTCCAGGAGGGCAGCGCAGGGAGTGGGGTGGTGCTCTGCACCCACAGCCGTACCGGGCAGGGCTGCCCTGCCCACATCAGCCCTGGCACTCCCAGGGGCACAGCCACGAGCCCCCGGCTCTGCCCCTCCTGGAGCAGGGGAGGGCTGAGGGTCCACGGGGCTGGGGGAGGCCGGAGAGGATGAAGGAGGGGCAGGGCGGCCCTCGGGGCATCAGCTCAGCTGCCCCAGGTAGTCTGAGAGCAGCAGCTCGGGGGGCAGGAACACACGGTGTTTGTTGCTCACTTTCATCTGACGTTTCCCTTCGATGTCCGAACCTGGGGGGTGGGAGGGAGCAGTCAGCACACTCCTGTCCCCCCAGACACTGAACTCCCAGCCCAGCCACCTCCCTCTACTCCTCCCCATGGGGCCTCCCCTGTGCTCTGTGCCCTGCCAGCCCCAGACACCTCTCCATGTCCCTGCTGGCACCGTGGGCTTCATCAGTGCTCTCTCGCTGTTTTCCACAAGCAGCTCCACAGGGATGGAGCCTGCTGTCTCTCCTCCCCTACCTTGGCAACAAAACCTCCAGGGGAGGCCCAGGGCAGGCTGCTCTCTGGGAGGAGGCAGCAGACACAGGAGACAGAGCCCTGCAAGCAGCCTCTCACTTTGGGCTACGCAAACCCCCCTCACAGAGCTGGGCCTGGCCGCCCTCCCAGGTTCTGCCAGCACTGGTGACATGGCCAGGGCTGCCCAGGAAGCTCCGGGCGGGGGGGCAGCACAGGGTTATCTGTGAGCCCCAGCACGAGGTGGGGCCGGGAGGAAAAGGCTGAGCTGGAGAGGAGAGATAGTGATGGAGGAAAGGGGAAAACAAAAACAAAATCAAAACTAAAAACAAGCAGACACGAGGCTCTTACTGGCAGAGACGAGATCCATGTACTGGCAGAGCGCGTGGAGCAGGAGCCGCTCGAAGCTGGGGGAAACAGGGATGGGGTTAGAGCTGATGTGCCTCTGAAGGGTCCCACACACTGCCCTGCCCTCAGTCCTCCCAGGGACCCACAGAGCACAAAGTGCCACGAGCTCCTGTGCAGGAATCCCCAGGTGCATCCCTGCCCCAGGGCTCCGTGGGGACCAGGCCAGGTGGGGTGTCCCCAGATGGAGACCTGAGCCTGCCTGAGGGGAGACCAAGGAGTGTCCTCTGCTCACAGAGCCCCTCAGCAGACTAGGGCAGCCCGAGGACACAGTGAACCCCAGAGCTGAGGACCCCAAGCTGGGGAAATACCTGTTGTCCATCAGCGCTGTGTAGACGGAGTGGGGAGTGACAGAGAAGAAGGCCAGCAGCTCCTCCTCCAGCCCTTCCAGCGTCCCCTGTAAGGAGAGGCAGGGGTTCAGTGAGGAGGGGGCTGTGGTGGGCACAGCCCCAGCACTATGGGGCCTCCAACTCCCCAGGAGTTACTGCCAGCAGCTCCCAGGCAATGATCTGGATGGGAGACAGCGGGAAGGCACTGGGACAGGAGACATCTCAACTCTCCAGCCCCTGAGGCAGGGAAGGATCCAGCCCCTGCCAACTCCACACTGCGTATGCCAAGGGCTGGCACTGTCCCTCGTGTTCAGAGCAGCCAGGGAAGCCTCGTGCCTCCCAGCACAGGGCAGCGCTCTGCAGCTCTCCGGAGCACCGTGACCCTGGAGACGAGCGGCGGGCGCGCCTCATTTGAGGACAAACAAGCAGAAGCCAGTGGGCAGGAGGAGCCCAGGCTGAGTTTAGAGGCTCTAATTAGTACCAGGAAAACAAACAGGGCAGCAAAACAGCCCCGCTGAGCAGACTGAGCGGGGAGCCAGCACCCCGGGTACGTGGCAGTCCAGCTCCTGAGCCCACACTCACCTCTCCCCATCCTGCTCAGCAGCTTGGGCACTTTTACCCCTTTCAAAATGCATTGGAGTTTTCCCAAATAAACTTGATGGGCCACTGTGAAGACCCCAAATGCTCTACTGCTTTCCCCATGTGCAAACACGCCGGGTTCACCTGTCACCTGCTGCTCATTGCACAGAGACTGGGAAACAGCTACTGAAAAGGGTCCTGTAACTGCCAGAAAAATCTGAACAGAGCCAGGAAAACCCATCTGCAGCCAGCCACCACCGCAGGGTCACACAAGGACTGCAGCACATTGCCAGGAGCTGCTCTGAAATTTGGCACCGCCCTGGCTCAGCACCCACACACAAGGTCAGGGCACAGCCCTGGGGACGCTGCTGGGGACACGGCCCCGCCTGCCCCCACCCTGCCGCCCTGGGACCCCCGCTCACCATGGGGATCCGGCCCCGCTTCAGGGTGGCGCGCAGGCGGCGGCTGATGCGCTGGAAGCACTCCTGGGGCGTGTAGGCTGGGAGCTCTGGAGCGGCAGAGAGAAGGGAGGAGGCACTGGGACACAGCTCGCAGCCCCAGCGCCTGCGGGACGGCTCTGCCAGCAAAGTGGCCCCCCAGCTGCCCCGGGGGACCCTGGCTGGGCACCTCCTTCTCTCAGGGGTCACAGTCATCCCCAGACCAGCAGTGCCTCCCCCAGCAAGGAAGCGTTTGAGAGTGCTGGGATTTGGGGCTGTGCCACCAGGGGACAGCTGCTGTGCCCATCGCCCCAGCCACTCCCGACTCCCACAAGCCATCCCGGCTCCATGGGAGCTCTGCAGGCATAACTGCCCCAATGTAACACTCAGGGGGTGGGCTCAGGCCTCCTCCCCACCCCAGCACAAACAGACGGTACCGGGAGTGGGTGCAGCCCTTGGGGAAGGTCACCCTTCCCAAAATGTACACAAGGAAGGAAAGGGAGGGGCTGTTCCCACCCAGCGTCCCCTCCCAGCACCTTTCCACTTGTCTTCATTCTTGACAGGCAGCTTCCTCCTGTGCTTCTTCCTGGCCTCCTCCTCCAGGTAGAGCAGGACCCGCTCCTGTTCTTCTCCCGACCGGTTCATGAAGTCGTTCCAGATCTGACAACAGAAGCCACCACAGGCACAACTCGCCATGAGAGGATCTGCCTGGATATTCCTCACCCCAGGACCTCATTGCCCTCTTGGCACATACATCAGCAGCCGGGCACCAGGCCCACAGATCTCAGCCCTGACACCAGACCAGGCAGAACCTGGGGTGCAGCACCTCAGGCCAGGGAGGCAGAGGGTTCCTCACGATGGAGAAGCAAAGTACCGGCATCACGTGCCATGCCAGGGCCACCCCAGTGAGCCCCAGGCTGGGGGTGGCTGCACCCACCTCCACGTAGGTCTCGTTGTTACAGGCCTCGGTGAAGATGCTGGGGGTGGCGGAGTGGTCAAGCTCTCCCTCGTCGCTCCCGCAGTCGTCCCGCTCCAGAAGCGTCATCAGGTAGCGAGCTGGGGGCAAGAGCAAAGCCTAAGAGGGGAAACAGCACATCCAGAGAAGCCCCATGCCCCCAGTACATCCCTGCCTGCCTGCCACATAGTTTAGGGGAGGTTGCCACCTGCCCTGGGGAAGAGACCGTGCCCCAGTCCTTACTGTTCTCCAGCCTCTGGAGGCTCTTGCGGCCCTTGGCCCTCGGGATGAGGTCAGAGTTGCGGATGGCCTTGTTGATATAATACTGTTTCCTCTTGGACGGGGAGAACCGCTTGGACGGGGAGTCCTCCAGCGGGGGCAGGCAGTCCTCGATCCTCCTGTGGGGACACAGCAGAAAGGATGAGCCCACCCGAGCCCCACGGGCCTGGGGCAGCTACGGCAGAGCGAGGAAGGGGGGGCTGCACAGAGAGTGCCTGTGGTGGGGGCGATGGGGAGGCAGAGCATCAGCCACCAGCGTTCCTGCAACTGGCACCTCACCTTCCCATGGGGCTCGTCCCCCTCGGGCCACTGCCAGCTCCAAGGTCTGGCTCTGCTCAGAGCAGCTGCAGGTCAGCACTGGACATGCTGGGTCATTAACCCCACCAGCACGTGAAGCAAAATCACAGGATCCGTTCCTGCCATCCCCGGTGGGATCAGCAGCTGGAACACCCTCCCTGCCAGGCCACTACCAGCTCCCAGGGCACCCAGAGGTGTTTGGCCACTGTTTACAACAATTCTGCAGTCAGGGTATTATTTAGTCACAGGCATAACTTAGGAACGACCATAAACCGAGATAAGTCTGGGTGAAAAAGCAGCCAAGCGACGAGCGAGCAGCTCGCTGGGCGTTGAGCGCAACCCCTCGGCTCTCAAACTTCACCAAACAGCAGAGACAGGAAGTTTCGCTGCCTCTGCTTGTTCTCTGCCCACTTGCGAAGGAGCTTCCCCTCAGGGTTGTGTGGGTTTCCTTTAGAGCAGCAGAAGGTGGGTGAGAAAACCAACACCCCCAAAACAACTGCCCAGGATTGTCCATCAGGGACAGGGAGCAGCCGAAGGCGACTGCTGTTCCCACTGCGACGGCAGCACCACGGCCTTGCCCCTTCCATAGGGCCATGTCCCCCACAGGTACAGCTTCCCCACCATGTCCCCTCCTTTCCAGCGCCCCAGGGCTCAGGGAGCCCTGCAATCAGGCCTCGGCAGAGCCGCCCTGGGCTCGGGGCAGAGCAGGCTGTGCCACCCGACTGCAGCCTGGGCCAGCAGCCAGCTGCTCACCCACGCCAAAACCTTGATTTTTTTTTCCCTTCCCCTGGATGGGGGCAGTGACATGTGCTGGGGGTGTAAGAAAACCCCACCCACTTCCAGTTGGAGAGAAAACCATGGCAGACGTGGGCTTGGAAGGAATAAAAGTGACACAGGTATCCCAGCGATGCCCAAAGGACGGGTGGGGAATGGTAACCCAACCCACCACAGCGAGTGACCAGGGCTGGCAGATCGAGTTTTGATACAAAGGTGGTTAAAAAAAAAATAAAGAATAAACAAGAGGGAGTCACCTTACGCCGGCCCCAGCTCAGGTTTGAGTACACAGCTGTGAGCCAGGCACTCCCTGGAGCTGTCACGGCTCACAGGCACGGCCCTGGAAAGAGCCCCCAAAGAGGGGAGTGCAGGCACCACACTGCCAACATTTATCCAGCTCTCACAGGGCAGGGCAGCAGTGAGGGGGACTCGTTGTCGTCCTCCTCCACTGGAGGAGAAAAGATGACAAAAGCCTCCAGGGCCGTTCCTGGCTGCCCTGGCATCCGGTGCTGCCACGTCTGCCCTGGCACTGCTGCCCCTGCCCAGCACCGACCTGCAGACCCGCAGGGGACATGACCTCAGGTCCTGTCAGACAAGCTCCGGTGACCTCGGCACCAAGGCCCCGTCCCGGGTGGCTCAGCCAGGCCGAGGGGGGATCCCAGGACAGGGATCCCAGCAGAGCTCGGTCCCTGGGGACAGAGCAATCCCTGGCCCCAGGAACACGGGTCCGGCAGCTCGGGGGCCACCGGAGCACGGGCAGTTTTGCGTGGCTTCTCCTCCACTTCCCACTTGCAGGCAGGGAATGCACAGACTCTCGTTCCCTGCTGGGGGGTTTCCAACCTGTTCCTGTTACTCATCCTTCAGCAGCAGGACGCGGCAGCGACACGCAGAGCAAAAGCCCCGGTGGGACAGCCGGGGGCTGTCAGGGACACCCCACCCGACAGCCCTTCCCGCAGGCTCCCGGGACCCCGGCCGGGCTCCCCAGCCCCGGTGACCGGAGCACCGTGACCTGGGGCAGGGTAAACGCTAATTAGCTCATTAGGGCTGTCAGGGCTCCGCTCTGACCCGGCCGCCCGGGGCGGGGGCGCTGGGGACAGGCTGTCCCGGGAGGCGCCGCCGCCGCCCGAACGCACCGACAGCCCCGGGGCGCTCCGGGCGGCCCCTCCCGGCCCCGCCGCCCCGCGATCCCGGCCCGCACTCACGGGAACGGCTCCTCCGGGCCCGCGCCGCCCCGCAGCACCACCATGGCCCGATCGAACCGGGCCCGGCACCGGGACCTCCCTCCGCCTCCGCCTCCCGGGCCCACACCGGCGGCACCGGGCCCGGCACCGCCCGCGGGAAGTGACGCTTCGGGGGCGGGACCGCGGGAGCCCCGCCTGGGGAGCCGCGGGGGGCGGGGGCACGGGGGCACGGCGGGAGCCCCTGGAACCGGTGCTCGGCGGCTGCCGGGCCCCGGTAACGCCGGATAGCCGCTGATAACCCCACGTTAAACCCCGCTACCTCCCCGTTATAGCCCCCCGTGAGCTGCCCGTTAGCCTCCATTAAAACCCGCCAAGTCCTCGTTAACCCCTCCCGGGTAGCCCCCGTTGCCCCCGGTAAGGCCCCGGTAACCGCCCGCCGCCGTTTCCCGCCTGGCCGCCAGGCGGCGCTGCGGCCGCGCCCCCGCCCGGGCCCCGCGACACATTTGCATGCGGCGGCGGCCGTCGCCCAATGGCGGCGCGGGGCGGGGCGCGCGGGGCGCGGCGGGCCAATGGCGGCGCGGGGCGGGGCCGGGGGCGGGGCCGGGGCAGAGCAGCGCCGCGGGCCCCGCGCGCACCGGCCCCGCCGAGCCCGAGCCCGAGGCGGGCGGCCGCGATGCGGCTCCGCACGGCCTGCACCGGGTAAGGGGCGCGGGGCCGGGGGCACCGCGATCAGGGGCACCGCCGCGGCCGCCACCGCCGGGGGGCGGGGCTGGGCGGGACCGGGGCCGGGCACCGGCCGCCTCCCCCAGGCGGGCTGGGCCCTCCGCGGCCGGTGCTGGGCGGGAGCGGGGCGCCCCCTCTCCCCGCGGCCGGTTACCGGCTGCCTCCCCCGCGCTGGGCAGGGGTTCTTCCCCCCCGGCCTCTCCGGGCCGGCCCGGACTCTCCGTCCCCCGCGGGCTCTGCCGTCCGGCCGGACAGAGCCCCCTGGCCCCGCCCTGTGCCCGCTCCGGGCCCGCGGCCTCCTGAGGTCCGGCCGGCGGAGGAGCCGGACTAGCTCGGGCTCCTCTCCCCGACCCGCGGCGGCTGTTTCTCCTCCTGATCGCGGGGCCGGGGCCCCCCCGGGCCCCTCCGCCTCCGTGCCCTTCCCGTCTGGGGGCCGCCGGTGCCACGTGCTGTCGGGAGCGGGGCCGGGCTCAGCCCCGGGACGTGTCCCCTGCCCGCCCGGGGGTTCCTCCCGCGGTGCCCCCAGCCCCGTTTTTCCCCGGGGACGCCACCCGTCGGGTCCGGGCTCCCCGTCCTCCTCCTCCTCCTCCCTCAGCCTCCGCGCCGCCCCCGGGGCCCCTCCCCGTGGTGCCGGGATCCCGCCCGGGGGTGTCCGGCCGCGGCCAACCCCGGTGTCGGTGGCACAAAGGCCCGTCCGTCACACCCCACCCGCCGCCGCCTATTTTTAGCCGCTGTCGCTCCCGAGCACCTGCCCCGGGGACGCGGGTGCCGCCGCCCCGAATCCCCCGTGGGACCCCCGTCGCTGCCCCACGGCGGGCACGCACCGGGTCCCCTGGCCCCGAGCGGCCGGAGGGACAAAGGGGCACGGCTCAAGGTCACCGGGGTGCCCCGGGGCCCTGGCTGTGGCCTCGCCGGTCCGGGTTCCCCGCGGAGACGTGGCAGCGTGTCCGGGGCTCGAGAGGCAGCTCCGCAGCTGGCGCTGGCACCGCGTCCCGCGGGGAGTCGCGGCTGGCCGGGGAGCACGTGCCCGGGACGGGGCTCGCCCCGTTTCGCTCGTGGCCGGTGCAGGATTCTGGGCTCAGGTGCGGAGCAGGGCAAGAGCGCGGCCACGGCCGGTGAGCAGTGGCTGCCCCAGGGCAGGGAGGGTCCCTGCCCCAGCCTCCTCCGTGTGGTTGAGACAGAGATGGCCTGGGTAGAGGAGGGGAAACTGAGGCACGGGCAGAGTCTGGGCAGTGCCTCCCCGGTGCTGGCTCGTGGTGGCCGCGGAGGTGCCGTGGTGGTGGCAGCGTGTCCGTCCATCACGGGAGCCGAGCGTGGCCGGGCCAGGAGCGGATGAAGCCTCTGCCGCAGTGGGGGAAGCGGCTCCCACCCGATCGGCCGCGGCCCCCGCCCGCGCTGGGAGCAGGTTCCCCTTTCCAGAATGCGCGGGATCGGGGCTGCTGGCCCCTGTGTGCTGCTGCTGTCCTGGCTCCGCAGCCCCTGGGTCCGGTCCCCGCGAGGTTCTCGGGGTCTGTGCACTCCACTGGCCCCTGGGCTGCTGATACAGGCGGCTTTGCCCATACACGGCACAAACGCAGTGGTGTGGTGAGTTCCCTACCTGCCCTCAGCACAAGCAAGGTCACACCAGAGCCCCAGTTGGCTGAGGGGGCTGCTGGTGGCACCAAGGCTCGGGGGGCCCTGTGCTGGAGAGGGTCCATGCCAGAGTGCTGGAGTGTGGAGTGCCACAGGCTGTAAGATAGTTCCTCTGGTGTTTTCCAGTGGGGTGAAGCAGACATGAGCTGCACACAGCCCCATGTTGCTCTGGAGGACCCTGAGTCCTGGGGAAGGGGAGCAGTAGGGGGTCCTGGGAGTGGTTGAAAGGGCTTGTTTGTTGGGGTTTCAAGCATGAGGCTCTGGCTTGCCCATCCCATGGGTTCTGCCCTGGGGTCCTGCAGCTCCCCCCTGCTTTGGGGCCCCTTCACTGTGCGGTGCAGACCCTGCCCACACCCTAGTGCCATCAGGAGGGGCCCAGTGCTTCTCATGCAGTGTGTCCCTGGTGGGGACATGCCTTGTCCCCTGTGGGGGACCCAGTGGGTGGCTCTCCCTGGGGTCTGTTATCTGCGGGCACGGGTCTGCTGGTATCCACTGCCTGCAGGGCCAGGCAGGCTATCGGGGTCCGGCAGGCCCCTTCCCCCTCCAGCAGCAGGCCCTGCCGCCCTATCTCATTAGCTCGAGATTAATGAGGCTCCTGTGCTGTCTTTAACTCCTTCCTGCTCACTAGCTCCTGCCCGCAGTTCTGCTGACCCTCTGCTCCGTTTCTCCTGCAGGTTTACACCGACGCCTGCTCAACGTTGACCTGGCCGAGGATTAGGGACACCGGCCACGAGTGGGGGATCCTGAGGCTGCTGCTCCCCAGAAGGTGCCAGGTCTGAGAGGGAAGGGGTGATGCACCAGGCTGCAGTTGCTGCCTGCCGAGCCTGAGGAGGAGTTTCGGCAGCACCCCGAACCCGACAAGCAGCGCCCAGCCTTTGACTCCCTCTGGAGCCCTTGAGTGGAGGAGACACTGAGCAAAGGCCGTGAGGGGTCAAGGGGCACATCCTCCTGTGCTGACCCGGCGTCGATTCCTGCCCTGACGCCCCGACGACGCTGCTCTCGATCCCCCGGCAGCCCCCCCCAGGGCTGCCTCTCCCAGCACTGTCCAGCCTTGGACCCCAGCCCCGCTGGAGCGCGGCAGCCTGCCGGGCACTGCCCCCCGGGCACTGCCCCCCGGGTGCGTCACCCCCCGCCCCCCCGGGGACCCCCGCCCGCCGGCAGAGCCATGAAGCTCCAGGCGGTGATGGAGAACCTGCAGCGG